TGTCACGCTATCACGATTTTTGTATTTGGATTATCAGTTGTTGATGAATCATCTTCAAAGGATGTAGTTTGCTCCAAACTCGGACATAATATACACCTGAAAGAAGCAATACAGAATAGAATTTAAACCAGTTGTAATGATGGCTCAATTTTTACTAGAGACGGAACCTGGTTGAAGAACGGTAGTTTGTCTGATAATTCGTTTGTGTATAAATACGGATAAACAAACGGATTATCGACCGCACGACCTAGTTTTAGCTTTGTTTCTTCTGGACGGATGGTTCGTCAGTTTGCGCGTATTTATACACAGATAAATTATCAGATGAACTGTCGTTCTTTTCCCAAGTTCGTCCCAGACAGATGATCCGTCTCTAGCATAAATCGAGCAAATTGAGAGTAGAGCTTGTAATTTTTTGATAAAATTGAGAGAGGCAGAGGTAGCGTGGCCACGTGGTTAGGGCGCCGGACTTGAAATCCGGAGGTGGCGGGTTCAAGTCCCGCTCTGACCACTAAGCTGGAGTTGTTTCTAGGGAGACCTTTGTTCAACCCATCGATCATGCTTGCAAATAGCCAACTGGTCTGCCTCCCGCCAATTGAGATTTTTAAGCCTATTACGTTTATTTGCGATATTTCTTTGTTTCAGTTTAAGTACATCTACTACTATAAACATTCAAAAAAAGAAAGCTCATTTAGTCTTTCCAGAGACAGAGAAATTGGGAGTGGATTTCCTTGGTAATACAACATAAACCGCCCCCGACTTTAAACATGGTGATTAATAATCGAGATTTGTTATGACAATACACCATAGCTAGTTTTCTCGAGCGAAAATTCCATTCGACACAGTTTGCTTTATTTTTGTGACTGTCAACAAATACCCATGTATGGTAACACCAAATAGTCAGTTTGAGTTAATGACCTGAAAAAAAATATAATAATAATAATCAATCTTTATATGTACTCACTCTTACTAAAGAAAAATTACAATGTTCAATGAAAATATTAAAAGGAAAAACCAGAGTACGGGCTGCCTGGAATAACCATAGGGGCTAGCGCAGCCAGGATTATGCCCAGGGAAATCTGAATTTTTAACTCGATAATGATAACTGATAGTGGTTTTTTGGTAAACCAAGGAGTCCCGGCAGCAGCAACAATTGATGATCTGCCAAATGAAGTAACAAATGATACAATTACCCTGAAGTGGAGTGAACCGGAAAATAATGGAAAAGTCATCACCCAGTACACTGTGTATCAACGAATAGTGACTGATGGTAAACCAGGAGAGTGGATCAAATTAGAGACAACTGCGGATTCTGTTACTGAATTGAC